GAAATATCAGGAATCAACATTGCCTTAAATGGGCAAAAATGGGCACTTCTGGTTTTTAAACTGAAAGGAAAAAAGGCCAAACATTTTGGCTGGAAAAAACCCCAGATGAAACAGGACCTTTATCACAACAAACACAGCACAAGTGCTGAATGAAAATGAGAAGCAGTGATTAAGAACACTTTGTTCCCTTCACTCTCTTGTGCCATTCAACTCAGACACTTTCAAATGGTTTGAGCAGTAGCAGAACAACAGTGGGGGGGGAACAATTGCATGGAGCTGTTTCCTGGTTTCTGTGAGGGACGTTATTTTATAATCGCTGTTAATTTCGGGGGTCAAGAGGGCACGATGCTCAAGTACTTTTCTAATACTGACATACAAGGCAGAACACAAGAAAACAGCAGCAACAGAAAAGAAAGTGCTTTCTAGGATGCAGACACAATCTGTAGCCTCAGTTTCTAAACTAAAAACCTAAAAAAAAGAAATTTATGCCTTTGATGACCAGTCATTCTGTGTTGTTAAGGACATTTGTGTTGTGTAGGCACATATTGTTTAATAAGAATTTTAATAAGTTTTTGTATGTAAACTGTTTTTATTTACTGTCAGCCCTTTTTGGTTTTCGATTTTTTTTTTTTGGTCCAGGGTGTCTTAAATTTCGGTTTTGATTTAAGACAAGAATTTTAATTCTGTTGCATTACTGTGTGAGACCACTGGATTTTGTGGTACATTCTGTAGCCTACATACTATAATCATTTTAGCGAGTTTATTAAACGTCAACCATTTTTATTGTATGTTAGCTTAGTTTTGTCTTATTGAAAGAAGATTTTATTTATAATAAGAGCCTTGTGGGTTTATATTAAGTTTTTTACAAAAGCGTAATTACAAAAAATAATGAAACATAAAAATAAATAATTGTAAATAAAAAAGCACAAACAAGCAACCTTTGATGCATCAATACCTTATTTTTCATACCGAGTACTAGTACGTGCTTTTTTTTTTTTTTTAGTATTTGCTGATATTAATAACGTAATGAGTAACTTATTTAGAATTTAGTACTTGTTATTATAAATGAGTGCAGCGTACCTTTAAATTAAAACATGAAATTGTGGCTGATTTTATAAATGATTAAGCTAGCTATGCTGCATTAGTAACTTTAAATCGAGAAGCATTGCGGTGGAGAAAAGTGGGTTATGTACCACATCAGAAAAGCGCTACTGTACAGCTGTAAGTAAAGAGCATATTAAGTTTTGATCCTTTCAAGAACAGTCTCTGTAGCACAGTGACAGCAGGAATCACATCTGAGACTAATCCAAGGAGCTCACTTGTCGAGTTTCACATCTTGTTGGAGTCTTTTGATTGGATGGTTGAGCGTTTAGTTAAATGTCCTCTAAAGCCAGGCATACACTATGCGATTTTAGAAATCTTGTTTATTGTTGAGTCATGCTGTACATTTAAATAGACCATAACATACTGACAAACGATTATGTTCAGACTACATGAGACACAGAAATCTCTGTCTATGAACAATTTCCATTAAAGCTGTTTAACTCAAAATATCACTCTGCATGTCCAAGTACTGAGCAAATACACTGAGAAACTGAGCTACAGCAGCTTTACTAACTTAACACACTGTGCACTGAATTAAAACCAGGAGGTGATGTATTAAGGGTAGTAAAATACGGTCTCTCTGCAGCCTATTTCACAAAGACATTTTAAAAAATCACGGTATTAACATTTATACCTTGTAATTTTACTCAGTCAAACAGAGTGACACAGGCTTTAAGTCTGCCAGTGTTGAATTTTCACCCATATTGGGGAAGTGGTTGTGATTGTGTTTGTGTGTGTTTGAAAACAGGCTAAAATCGCACAGTGTATTCTTGATGAGAATGTGCCAAGGTGGACTGCTAAAAATGACCAGTGACTCTGCGTTCGACATGGCAGCAGCAACACTTCTCTGTGCAGGCAGACACTCGTTCACTGCCAGCTTAAGTCGTATAGTCATTAGCGCAACAGGGCACTGGGCTTACGTCACGTGGTGTAGGTGGTGTCAGATGTATGTATCGGTTTATTTTTTACGAGTATGAGTAAATGAGCATGGTACCAAGCTGATACCAAATACCAGTATCGTTATTGATTCATCCCTAAACCTTTGTTTTGGTTTCTACCAGGTGTCTTGAATTTATATTTATTGATATATCACTACTTTTCAACCTCCTGCTCAAGATCCAGTTTACATCAATCAGATTTTGTCTTAATTTGGCAACTGTTGGCAACTTGTGTTCTTACCGGTTTTTTTTTTTGATTTCAGAGCACCACCTGACTGTTTTTTAGCACTGAAGCATGTTTGTTATTTGTAAATACAAGGTGTAAATAATAAACACATTTTGGCCGCAACATTAATTGGCTTTTTGGCCTGCGTGGCAAGTACAAAATCTTATATCTAATCCTGGTATATCATGATTGTGCCAAGTTTGTGGAGGTCGTAGAAATATTGTGATATATTGTCATCACCCACCACCAGCAGATATTGTGCCTGCATGTAGAAATACAGAACTCTGTGTGAACCAGACGGAATCAATGAAGGAGTATACCGTTTCTCCATAAGGGCGTACCTTTGTATGTTTGGGTTAGCTAAGTAAAGTCTGCTGCTCACCTGCACCAGAGTGTTGTGCAAGCCCCTTACCTCTACATACACACACACATTCCAGTCTGTTATTCTTTACTGTCTCTGATTTCTCAGAACTGGCAGACTTCTCATTTTGTTTAGGTTGAATACCTCAAAGGCAGCCTTTCTGACAAGCACCCTTTCTTCGCTCACGCCTCACGTCACCCTTTGGCATTCCCCTTTTTTGCTCAGCTTGAATTCTTCCTTTTTGTGCCCCCCTCCATCCAGGCAACCAGACAGCTGTCATTTGTTCATCTTGTGTTTCCTTCTCTTTTCTTTTTGCCTGCCCCTCTCCCTAAAGTGGTTGTCAGATGTTCCTGTGTGTATAAGGTGCATGGTGACCATATGGAGACTGCAGCCCTGTGTGGTTCAATGATGAGTGTAGGGTACTCATTAAGGGTGCTTCAATGAAGAGTCCTTAACCTCATATCCTTAGTCCACCAAATAGACCTGACAGAGCAGCCTCAGACATAAAGGGAGCCTACAAACCCTTTTAAGCTTCTTACACAAGTGCATTAAAGGAGGGCTGAAGTGTTCCCAAATGCAGGAATACTGAAGAGAGATCTGCACCCAGTCAACTGTACATGCATTCTTGATATGTTGGCATGGCAAGTAGGTAGGACTGGACGATACAGGGAAAAACTGCCTTGTTCCACTTTTATTGTTTCATATTATGTTTGTGATGTGCCATGCTGTATACTAAAACTCAAAATCAAACATATAATCATTCTAAATAGCAATTTAGAAGATATAGAAACCAAAATGCTCCAGCAACACATTCTACTGAGTAGTGCATTGTCAGATATTGTGATACGGTTAACGATTGGCCTCCTTTGGTTTGACCAAAATAATTTGTTTGAATCATGTTAAAACCCAGATTCATCAAAACATCCACAGAAATCCATTTGTGATTGGTCAAGATGCTCACAGAACACAATAGAACATTCAGTGATTGCTAACAGGCTCATTTATATGACTTTTGTGACATGATTATTGCAAAATATGATATTTCAATAATCTTTAAAGAATAATACATAATGCAGTGTTACAAGTATCTAAAGACAAGGAATGTTCCAAAATTTTGGCCACTGGAATTTTCCCATGGCACTTTTGTTTTTCAGCTAAAAGGTGGGGGTGAAAGGCATCACAAAACAAAGATTAAATGGGTAGAATTTTAATGGTAATGAAAATAGGAAACAGTGATTAAAAATGTTATTTGTTACCTTCACTTTCCTGCGCTGGTCCACATAGACAAGTTCAAACAGTGAGCACATTTCAGCTGCATGGAACGATATTGTGGTTTCATTAAATTAGACAAGCAGTTTTTAATGTCTGCTGAGTATCAAGAGATACCAAAAACTTCTTTGTTGCAGATTTGATACTGCTTGAAAACACGAAGTCATGCAGAACACTGCAAAACAACAGAGACAAAAAGCAAAATCCTTGCTAGCACACCATCTGAAGATTTTGAGATTCAAAAAAAATTTACAAAGGACAGTGCCAAAGGGCGAAGTAGAGCTAAAAAAAAGAATGAAAATCATGGCCTTTGATGTCCAACTGTTCTAGTAATTTTATTATTTTTTAATGTTTTATTATTTTTGTTATTTGTTAGCAGTTTTTTTTGTTTTTTGGGTCTTCAGTTTGGTTCTTTGGCCCAGTGTGTCCTAATTTTTGTTTTTTGTTTTAGCCAAGGTCTTTAAAATCGTTGCATCACTGCTTTTGTAAGTATCAGACCAAAACAATGCACTATTAAGAGGTGAGTGTTGCTGATGCATTTTGGGTCAGTCTCCTGTAATGTTTATTTGAATGACTTAGTGAGTTAGTAAGCGTGGCTATGCTAGCATTGTGAGATGCCAAAATTAAAAGCTTTCGACTTCTAAAGTTTTCAGAGTCCTTTAGGAGTGGAGCTGTTAAAGCCCTGGCGGAGCTGAATGTAGGCCAGCTGCGGGCTGCAGATTCCACCGGCTCTCCGCAGCTCACGATGCATTTTTAAAGCTTGTCTGCTTGATCCGAGTGCGTCGTGCTCAGTAAGAGTCTGAGCATGACTCTCCGCATTTCCTGACCCATTTTAGCACCTTGATCCTAAAAATACAGCCCCCTGACGTCCAGATCAGAAACCTGTCTCTCTATAGCTTTGCTTTAATCACTGGAACTGTATTAAACACTTTGACCCTCACGGACCAAACAGGGGCTCTGCATTAAGCTTTCTTTAGAATGCTTGTTAACAATGTCACTTATTTTGATCTGCTTTAGATGTACTGTCATAAAAGCCTGTTTTGGTGTCTTGGCTAGCCAATGAAATTAAATGTTTTTTTCTCTCTCTCTCTTTCCCTTGCAGTGCTGTGTGCGAAGAATCTGGCAAAGAAAGACTTCTTTCGTAAGTAACCCAGAGAGCGACAGAGAGAGTGCTCTATTTCTGTAGCTCTATGTAAATCAGCTCAGTGTTTTAGAGTCGTCCCGTCTGTTTGAAGCGCGCCGAGTGAGATAAGTATTCTTCCCCTGCGAGACGCCAGAAATGTGGGTCAGTTTGAGGAGATAAAGCGCCCCTGAGTGCAAGGCACACACACATTCACACAACTATAATCTGTCTCTGTCTAGTCTCTCTCTCGTGTTCTCTCTCTCTCTCTCTCTCTCTCTCTCTCTCTGTCTCTCTCGCGCCCCAACACAGTACACGTTCAGGCTGACGAAAAAGGTGATCAGATAACCCAAGAAAAAGGAGATAGGGGAGAAAAGCAAGAGAAGAGAAAAAAAACAGTAGTTTGAGGGCTGATAGTCTGCAGATTGCATGTCTGTGCACTCGTCACGGCTGCAAAACTTAGCAGTGCACCAATAAAAACACTGGCCGGTCTGGAGGGAAATTAAAGAGAGCCGTCTGTGTGTCTGTCTGTCTGCCTGTCTGTCTGTCTATCTTTGGGTGGGTGTGTGTGTTTGGAGTTGTTTGGGTTGTGGGTGTTGTGTCGAAACAGGTTGTTAAGGTCAGTCACCTAAACACCAGTTACTGCTTACCTGTCCCATAATAGCACAGTCTGCACCTGTTTTAGAGAAAGTGTCTGTGTCTGTGTTATAAGTGGGCAATATGACAGTATGTATTGTTATCATGATGAATTATGTTTTTCCAAGTATACTGTGGGTGTCATCACTACTTCTAGAAGACTGAACAACTGCAAGTTCCCTTTAAAAAAAGATTTAGACCGGTTTTTGAGATGTAAACAATATGTAAACAACAATAACAAACAGCATATAGAAACTGTATAAACTGCATAGTAAAAAGTAGCTGACTGGGTTTCAGCCCAGTATGCCAGTGTTATATTTTTATTTATTTTGAGCAATTGATGTTCTTCTTAAATAGCTCTTTTTAAGTAGTTTAAATTAGTAAACTGAGTACCAGATGACACTGATCTAATATTTCTTCTTTAAAAATATTAATTGTTAAAATAAGCTGTTTTTAATTGAAGCACTTCACTTAAGATGCTCAAACTACTTGAACACTCTACTACCACATACGTGTGTGTATGTATGTGTGTGTGTGTGTGTGTGTGTGTGTATATATATATATATATATATATATATATATATAATAAAGCAACTATCACAATGTGGGAGTCATATTTCAGGGTAGAAATCCAGCTTTTTATCCTGAAATCAGCCTAATACAAGTATCTGTTGTTGGATCTCAAAAAGTTTGTTTTTGGAAGTGTTAAAAAAAAAAAGAAAAAAGATTGTGCTCAGTTTTTCATAGGCTTTTTTTCATAGCCTTTTGCCTGTTCCAACTTGTTCAGAAACCTCAAAAGATTAAAAATGTTGCGGTACATAGTGTGGGTTGAAATGGCAAAGTTAGCTTTGTTATACTATCTCACCATAGATGTGTTAAGTGAGGAGTAAAATATACTTCCTCCAGAACACAGTGCTACATTTAACACAGGGCAGCTCAGACAACAGTGCAATTAGATAATAAATGCAATAACTACAGAAAAGGATTGTGATTTCTGTGAGTTTTTTTTTGTTTTTTGAAACTATATTGCCCTTAGTCTCTGTATGTGTGTGTATGTATATGTGTGACTGTGTAATACTGTATTTTATTACCTGTTCTAGGCCTACCTGACCCCTTTGCTAAGGTGGTAGTGGACGGTTCAGGACAGTGCCACTCCACAGACACAGTCAGAAACACACTCGACCCCAAATGGAACCAACACTATGACTTGTAAGTACTCAATACATACTGGTGTGTTTTCTCCATCCCTCACACACACAGTTTGATACACACACAAAATGTGGCATACATCATTTGCAGCTGACCACTCTGTTTCAAGGATTCCTCCTGTCTAATCACGAGTGGAGGAAAGGTTTTCTCAACATCCAGAGCTGTACAACACTCAGCACACAGCTTAAAACAAACTGGACAGAAAAAGGAATGTTTTCAGATTCAAACAAGTTCATGAAGTTGCACTCAGTTTGCAGTTTTGTGTTTACTTGCTTGTCCATCAAATGCGTTAACTTGCCACCTAAAGAAGCACGTTCTGCTTGTAAGAACAAGGTGCTCTGCGCTATCTATCCATTTATACACCCTTCTGATCACAATAGCAGTAGCGTGGAAGGCAGTTGTCAGCATGTGGACGCACATGCATGCAAGAGACTCTGTGGCTGTAAAATAATCAGGTAATTTCATGAACATAGCACAGAGATACAGATGTCACTTACAGTAACGTCATCAGTTTGGTATTTAACAGTGCTGCAGCACTACAAACATAACCAAAATGCTAACCGCTGATAACTCCACACACTTGCAAGCTAAACTACATCTGCAAAAGTGAAACTAACTTGATTACACAACCAACAATCATACCTGATTTAGCAATAGTTAGTAAAAGATGCTTTATTCAATGCTGCATTTTGTACAAGTAATGATGAGTAAAAAGCTGATTCCAAACTGTTAAAGCACTTTTGCTGCATGTTGGATGTTGTAAACGTCACACTTGCAGACTTGAAAGCAGTATTTGTTTCACTCACGCATTAATGTACTGTGTAAAAATAAATTCCTGAATTTCAATATAGCCATGACTGTATTAATGTGCATATTCTAGGCTTAACTATGATATTCTGCTATATCGATGTTTAACACATTCCCTCTATTAATTTCTCACTGGCCACACACCACTTCACTCTCACAGTCTGTAACTGACACAGATATTCTAGTACACAATCTCTCACTCTCCCACATACTCAGTCACTGCTTACTCACATTCAGTAGAAACCTGAGAGATAGCAATGAATGTGATGCTTTGTACAATATGTCTCGCCTAACCAGCGCTTAACATGCCTGTTATTAACCCATCAAATTTGTCACTAGACTTCACATATGTGGCCTACACACACATTCAGGTGACCACTATCAAGAGAGGCTCCTGTAGATTAAGCCATCACCTGTATACAGACCTCATATACTCTAGATTTGAGCAGGTTTGCAGGGGTTTCAAAAGGAGCTTTAAAGTTATCAACTTTGTCTCCATAGTCACATCTAGACCACACATCTCAGTGTGTGTCAACAGAGAGCTGGAAGTTGAAGCAAAAATAGAAACTTTCCCTCCAACAAGTCTCTCAATGTCACTTTTCCCAAAGTCCTAAACGAGGGAGAGAGGGTGTATGTGCATAGGGGTGAGGATAAGAATGAGGGAAAGAGCAAGGGAGAAAGTTTCCAGTATTTGTCCTCTCCTTACGTGGGATGACAGAAAGAGGAAGCACGTGTCTCAGTTTGTTTGGTTGCCTTGGTGACTGGATGCTTTTTTTCCCCCTCAGCTGGTTATAGACAGAGAGACAGAAGGAGAAAGAGGACTGACATTGGCATTACAAGAATAGTTGAAATTAAATTTACACAGTTTTCTCCTTACCACAAATGCAGTCAGTCATCCAAGACATGTTCGGCATCTGAAGTTTCTTTAGATTTGCTCTGGACTGGACAAAACAAAACAGACAAAGGTGCAAAGAAATTCAATCTTCAAGATGGCTGCTACTATAATACTACTCTTTTAGCTATGCTACATACTTTTCTCTATTTTTATATAGATAACACTCAAAAATGTCACCAGTACAAACGGAAAACATGGTTGACAACACGGTCGTTACGCCCAGGATGATGGCTGGAGGTCCTGAGTGGTCAAATCTGTCCTGAGTGGTCATATACCATAGTGTTGAGTGTTTGAGTTTTCAGAGATACTGCACACATTCAAGAAAAAGTACCAAGAGTGTAGTATGTTAGCATTGTTCAAGTTTCAAAGCATTTCCTGCGCTTCCCAGTCTATATGGTCCAAATATGGTAAGTAAGCTGAAAAACAGCCTACTTTGAATTCTTCATTTTTGTGATGTCACAAAACAAAAAAAGGGCCTGTTCAGCCTACAGTAGTTCAGCTCTGCCAGTTCAGGCTAGGAGTGGGTAATATGATAATAGTTTATTGTTATTATAATAATTTCTGTTGTTTTGTTGATCGTTTTTTATGATCCCTAATTCAGGTTGGAGTTTTTGTTTTTAAGTGCGGCTTAATACAGGGCAGCCAATCAGAGTAAAGCTCCTTTGTATAAAACAGCCTGTTAAAGTCAGGGGAAGACTGGGAAACTGTAAATTAGATTTTTGGCAAAAATATCACTTTAATGCCAGTGTTTAGTTCTCTCTTTCTCTCTCTCTTACACACATACACTCCCTTTCTCTCTCTCTGTAACTGGGGGCAACAGGTGGACTCCCGGGTGCAGCTGGCCCTTTCATTGAGGAACTTTGGCTCAGGGAGCTCCGACTAGGCCATGTCAAACACAGCCAAGCTTTAAACGCTGGCCTCAGTGCAGCAGCAAGTGCTTAGTGCAGCTCTGACTACTTAAAACCTGCTTATTTCAGCTGCTCTCAGATCAGTGTCTGAGGAGCTCCATGCACTGTCCTTGCTTACTGTTCTTCCTGCAATCATAGTCATTTGTTTCAGAGAGTTTAGATATCTTTCTTTAGCTTTTCATTTATTTTGCTAATACCATCTGCCAACTGTAGGATGTTCCTGTGTGTTGGAAAATATGACCTGCCCATAATCTTTATAAATCTTTATTAGTAAAATGACCATTCAGACAGGTTAAGCTTTCGTTCAGATTTTGGCCCAAACTCTGCCTGCAGGTCTTTTACAAGCAGTTGTATTATCTGGAAATAAGCGTAGTTTGGCACGCACGAAAGTTCCTCAAGAGTTCCACATAATTTGGATCAGAGAGGTTTCTGAGCTCAGGACTTTATTAAATTCTCTGGCGCTGGAAATTTGATAAATGTTTGCCAGCTCCAGAGAAGCAGCTTTTTGTTTGGGTTTCCTCTGACCCCTCTGGCTTGCCTGGCTTCGTGTGAACATCTAACCGTGCTATCCATCCCCTCTTAGTTTAGTCTCCCTTCTCTCGTCTCCTTTCATCTCCCACCTCCTCCCCTTTACTTTTCTCCCCGTTCTCTCCTTACCTCACCCTTCGTTAACAGAGGATTCTTTCACTTTGGCAGCCTCTTAAGATCTTATGACATTTCAGACATGCTTGAAGGACTCTGGCCAGAGCTTTTGAGCTTTGAGGCCTTCTGCATCTTGCTTTTGCTTTTGAAATCAGGAGCTGGTTCTGGATGGTATCGATGAAATATCACAGTATTTTCCAAATATTTTACATATTTAGTCATAATATTGGATCATATTTAAGTGTGCATTGATTAGTTAACATTATTGAACCTGTGATTCTTGAGTACTGATTTTCTTTGAAAAGAATGTCTTAGAAACCTGATGTTGTGTGTTTTGATTGGATGGATTTTTGTTGTGATTGAAAGAATTAGCAATACTGAGTCAGGAGGAAAAAAATGCTGTTGTGAGTCTCCCTGTAAAGCGTGAAATAATTTAAAATCTTTATGGGAGATTTCCGGACCATGTCATACGTATCAATGTCACACAGCCTTCACCAAACACGTCCGTCACCAAATCTTGGCTGAGTTCTCTTTGAATACTTTTTCAGCGCTCTCGCATTAGATTCTTCTGCTTGGGGAAAGAGTCTGAAGCACAACCAACATAACAGAATGGTATAATAATAATAATAATAATAATAATAAACTGAACAATAGAAAAGAAATGCGATAGAAAAAATCTATCAGGAATATGTCATGATGGACAGGTAAGTTCTCAGTAGTAGCACTCAGAAGGTACAGAGATAGGGAACTCTGGTCCTGATTGTCCTGCTTAAACACACTTGATTCAACTCCGTTAATTACCAGGTTTAATTGTTGAGTCAGAGCAAAGAAATCATCAAACTGTGCTGGACTCCAGCCCTCAGTTCCTGCCCTCAGTCCTGCACACCTGCTGTAAAGGAAGTTCCACAGTCAAAGTGCATATTGGCTAAAAGCACCAGTTCGTGTAATCTAGCAGAGGGGAAGCAGGGAGTGCGTAGTGTTCTAGGTAGGGAGTGATCATGAAGAAGGCCAGTGAGGTATGAAGGAGTTAAACCATGAAGTGCCCTGAATTATTATAACTGTTTATTAACCATTAGTTAGAAGTCCAGAGTGTGTCGTAATAGAATGAAATGTCCGCCCTTACAGTTCATGAGTCAGGCAAGCCAAACCAAGAACTTTTAGCCTTACAGAACTAGCATGTAAGTTGCCAAGAAAGTTTGATTTATGGCTACATGTCTTTCCTCTGTGTAGATACATTGGGAAGTTGGACTCCATCACTATCAGCGTGTGGAACCATAAGAAGATCCACAAGAAGCAGGGCGCCGGCTTTCTGGGCTGTGTACGGCTCCTCTCCAACTCCATCAACCGCCTCAAAGACACTGGCTGTAAGTGTGTGTTTGTGTGTGTTTGTGTGTGTGTGCGTGTGTTAATGTGTGTTAATGTGTTTTTTGCTCCAATTGAAAGTGTATCTGGGATGGCTTTGTGTGTCTAGATGACCTCAGCAGCCTTAGCTCTGAAAGTGTGCATTGACAATAATATGCATGTTATCTATGTCTGGATGTAAATGACACTGACTAGTCTGTATCTGTCTGCACTTATGTGTGTACTTGTTTTTTCATATGTTTTCTGGACAAAAATGTCCAGACTTTGTAGAACAATCAGATCAAACAGGTAACCTACAGCAAAATGGTCCTGACTATATAAGGTGTTTATATAGTATGTGCATGTTTAATTTTTAGATTTCCGTTTAGATTTCCATTTAGAGTTAGGCCTAATATTTTTTACATAAAAAAGTAGCTCCATATATTGGCACGGGCAGAACACAACCTTAACCTTGTATCTCAAAAATGGTAACATTTCAGAAGAAGGAAAAAACATTCTTAACTTTTAACATACAACAATTTTGTACCATTGTTATTGGTCTATTTGTCATGAGATTTTCACACAATTTAAAGGTCACCTGCATTTTTTTTGAATGATATAAAAAAAAAAATAAAAAAAAAAGTAGAAAAAAAGATGAAGGTGCAGTGTTTTGTTTGGACTGACACGATACAGAATTCATACAGTTGGATGGGCTTCACTGGTCAAATTTTATATATATATATATATATATATATATATATATATATATATATATATATATATATATATATATATTAAAGTGAAAATTACACGCACTGTGAAAACAATTACTGTTCATTTACTGAAGTTAACATTGGAAAAAATAAAAACATAAAATGTGGCCTGTGCATTTTCTGTTTTATTTTTTCCAAAATGTTAAAACGTGCACTACAAGTAGCAGAAAATGTCGACTTATTTTCACTTAGAAAATCAATAAATAATTGTATTTGTAATTTGACCAAGAGTGTTTTTGCATATGACTGTATGGGACACATGTGCTTAGGTTCAAATCATTTTATTCTGGTGAAGGTTGTGGAGCTATGGGTCACGTTTTTGTTGTTCAGAGATCCAGACAGCACAGACGGAAGTGATTTTTGCAGTCTAGTACAATGCTCTTGATGTCAGGCTTGTGGCAGTGGAGACTCTAGGGCTCATTTGTGATGTGCTGAAGCAGAACCAGGCCGGTTATGGTGCCAGTGTGCTTCTGTCTGAGGGATTTTAAAACAACACTTTTCCTAGAAACCCTCCAACATGGCTGATTTCCTGAAGAAGTACAGGAAACCACCAGCCTCTCCCACAGCTGCAAGCAAGGGGTTCCACCCTGCCCAACGTTTCCTGATGTCTGTCTGTTTTCTCTCTCTGTCTGTCTCTGTTGAACTCTTTGTCCCTTTCCTGATTAACTTTCTGTTTCTCTTTCATTTCTTTTATGTTTAATCTGTTTTTTCTCTCTCTCTCTCTCTCTCTCCATCTCTCTCTCCATCTCTCTTTCTCTATTCTTCTGTTTGTGTTTCTCTCAGAACGAATTGGGACATTCTTTGTTGTGGCTGTTTAGATACATGTTTATCATTCCTTCATTTGCAGCTGTTTAACCACAGTCTCCCTGCGGTTAAAGAAGTGTGTGTGTGTGTATGTGTGTGTGTGTGTGTGTACATGCAGTTCAACCGATCCCTGTTTAGTCTAGTGGTACATCCTGGCTTGACTGTCATTCTCTGTCTGAAGAAACCCTACTTGTTATTCCTGTCTCTTTCTTCCCGTGGTGCACCATAGACAGAGAGATCTAGCATCTCCACTTCTCGAGTCTGGAATGAATAAAGCAGGCTTTGTGTACACACGCGCGCACGAGCACGCACGGCTGCAGTGGGTGTGACCTCTTGGATGCTTTGAACGGTCCGTGGTGGCACTGCCTCTCTGTCCATCTGCTGCAGTGTCTCACAGGCAGTCAGGCAGTCAGGCACACTCTGACTGAAATTTAGTGGCTGTGGTGGAAACGTTATGCAGGGATGAGCAAGATACACACTGCCCTTGTGGGCTCACTGTGTGTTGTGATAAACTTTTCATTTTTATACTGAGTTCACACCAGACACATCAGCATCATGTAGGAGTAGAGTTAGTGAAACGTGAGCGACCATTCGTCCCAACCACGCTGTCTCTCGACTTAGTCTAGTGGAGTCAAATGTGATCTTAAACCAAGAACATCTGGGGACAACCATGAGAAACTTTAACAATGAGAACAAACTATTAGAGTCGGAGTAAACGGAGAGTGAATTTTCTAAACCGGTCTAACACTTGTAAAGTACAGGTTGTTGGTACATTCGTCAACATTGTCTGATTGAGAACCAGCCTGCTGTTTGCCCATAGATGTAGATGCCCATAGATGTTTGTATGGCTGAAAACCGAATCGCCTGAAGTTACTTTCTTGTCCATTTATGTGATGTGACCTGCGAATACAGCTTGAATCCCCTTTGCAAATGAACTTGCACCTCCAAAATGGACAGTAATGGACATGCAACCAAGACTGCAATTTTTTTTTTTTTCCTAAACATATACACCTGGCCAGGCTTGGTAAACTAATTGCCACATCTCATTGGCAAACAAGCGAAGTCTCTTTTGTCCTGAGTTAATAAAGGCATTTACATGCACTTAATGATACGATTATAATCCGATTTTGGTAGTCATCTAATTATTCCCCTGGTTATTTAAACAGCATACTCTGATTTCCTAGATGGGATTGAGGCCTAGAAATCTGATAAAGAATCTGTTTTAGCCCACTAATCAGATTTTTCAGTGTGTGTAAAGCCTCACTCCGATTTAATAAATTTTCCTCAGTTTGTGCCTGTGCGAAAACAGACCGCTGTTCCAGAAATAGCAAGCGTTTAACACAACACTCACAAGATGGCAACAAAACACTTTCGGAGTGATGCTGCAAACAACTTGATGCTTGACAAAATGAAGAATTTAAATATTCTTCATATTTTCATGTCTTGTTCTGTGAGTTTGTTGGGGAGTTGCAAAGCAGAAACCCAACTGCTGCCTGACCCGTGCAAAAACTGTGTTTTCCCGTTTTCTGTTTACCCAAGTGCCTGGAAACACGCTGAATAAATTACAAACAAAATCTGATTTTCTGGAGTTAGCAGTTTATTAAGTGACACTCAGTGTCTTCAAAGTATTTAAAATGTTTTGTTTGTGTCAGATAAAAACTCAGCATGACAGTAGCCACCTAATATCTTTAAGACTGCACAGGAGCTGCTCAGCATCTACTAGAACAACAAGGTCAATATTAAATGATTAATTCATAATTTCAGTATAGTTCAGAAACTCACAGAAAGAAATATTTTGTCGTTATCATGATAAATTACATTTGACCAACTGTGTGTTTCATTACGAAAAGAGCGTAATTAATCCTGTTTAACCTGTTTTAGTGCAGCACAGTATGTGAAATGTTAAGTTCATTGTACTCTTGATTTTATAAGGACTTTTTTTACAGACTGCTATTGATTCTTTTAGTCTGTTTCAACTTACCAAACCTCAGAAAAAGTAAATATTGTAATTAATATCTTCTATCATACAAATGAAGTATCATGATGTTATATTTTTGCTTTATTGTCAATCCCTACATATTAGTGCTGTTTGTTTTAAAAAGGCTTGTGTCTGTAAAGAACAGCCTGTGTATAGTAAGTATATAAACTGCATTAACAATTAGCTGAATGGATATCAGCCCATTATGCCAATTTTATCTCGTTTTATTATTTTATTTTTACCAGTTGTTTAGATTTTTTGAATCATGTTCCTTCTTGAATGGTTTATTTTTGCAAACCTTGAACAAAAACTCAGATGTGCTACTCCTGTTTTTACTTTTCTGTTGTACCTTGTTTGGAAACCTCTAAAAAAAAATGTCATGATGCGTATTGAGTATCGTTAAAATGCCAGAATTGTGATGTTAAAGTCTGATTGGGTATGTTAGGGTTCTTTCTTTTACCCCAATTTATCCTTTTTGTGTATTCACTACCGAGCCAGTATCTAGTAAAAAATGGTCCACTTATTAATGATTAATAGGCATTTAAGCATTTTCTTTGCTCCTGCTTTCATCAAAGGCTTGTGTTTCATCATGATTTGCATTTCTCTCTCTTTCTCTCTCTCTTTCATATTCACAGATCAGAGATTGGATCTCAACAAGTTGGGGCCTAATGACAGTGACACAGTGAGGGGCCAGATAGTAGGTGAGTTTGGTTGATGTCCTTGTTTCTCTCCAGACTTCTGCCATGGCTACTGTGTATGGTACAGTCTCACAATTTGCAGTCTAAGCGTAGAGAATCTGATGGTTGGTTCGTGAACTCTTAACTCTTAGTTCCGCCTTAACCTGTTGACATGGCTAAATGATTGGCTAGAAGAAAATGACTGAGTAGTATTTGAACTGCCCCACCTCCTTCCCCGCTTCAGAAGAGCTGATTTCCCCCAACATTCCTCTCTTCCCACTCAACCTGCCACATCTGCCTTTCATCCTGTGAGTCAGTCCAGCCCTGGGGACTGCCGGAACCGTTCTGTAATGACTATTAAACCCACATATTTACACGAAGCACGATAAGGCAAACACTTAGGGTAAAAAGGAGGAAAAACACTCATTCATGCATTGCCATGTATTTGGCAGTCATTATTTTGTATTTTACAGTATGTAACATTTTTCAGGGCTGATGGTACTTAAAACCTTAGTCAGAAACATGTCCATATTAATATGAACTTGAGATGAACTCTGAGGCGCATAGCGATGGCAACTTGAAACCCACTTATTGCTCTTTGATCCAGTTGAAGTGAGAAGGCGGCCTGCACCCTATAAACTGTTCTTGTGAACTGGAGTGCAGACGTGAGCTTGACACTCAGCTTTATGAGCAAACCTTTAGTCACAGTCTCCTCTGTAGCAACTTGTGCTTCAGATGCTTCCTATGATGTCAATGTTAGAGTTGCTCTCTAATTACAGAAACAGAGCTCTTCTCAAAAGTAGACATTGCTGAAAAATGTTGCCTATGCATCTGGCCTCTGAGTTTTCATGGACGTGTCTCAGAGCTCACAGATGGTTTACACCTAATACAGTTGCTAATGGTCACCGCAGGGTATCTGTTATATGCCCTCTATAAAAGCCTGCACTAAGAGCAGAACAGGCCACCCAAAACGTTCATGTGTCTAATAACTCATAAAACTGAAATGTGCCAGAGATAAAGCTGTTTAAACATCATTCTTATTTAACTCCATAAACTGCAGGAGTCCATAAGTTCCCCTCTCTTAAATTTCAGAGACCACCTGTAATTTATTTAATTTCATTGACCATTAAGTTATGTTAAGGTACTTATTTTTCAGGAGATATTTCTGGGGAGATTAAATATTCTAAATAGGAGTTAAAATAATTAAAAATACAGAGAAATGGCGCAACTGTGTAAGACCTGGTAGACCACCAGAACTTTCACCTTTAGATAAACAGTTTTTAAAGCTTTCACCTGGACTGACCACCCCAGACCCCGGACCTCAACATCATTGAATGTGTTTAGGATTACTTGGATCATGAGAAGCAGAAAATGCAAATAACATCTAAGATTGAACTTTGCAGTTGTGGAAAAATATCCACAATATCCTGCAAATTTCTTTGAAAAACTGAAAGCAAATCAAACTGAAAAGAATGGGAGCTGAAATAAAGGAAAAGGGTGCAGATACTAAAAAGTTAAAATTGTGCTATTTTGTTTAGTTGTTGATGATTCTATGTGTGATTCTGTACAAAATGTTTTCTACTTTTGTTTCTAATGCTGAAAAATGAAAACTTGTATTTATTGGCTTTTTTGCCTGGAAATTAAATAAACAAAGGGTCTCTGCCTTTTTTAGTATTGTACATTCTAGTTTCATAGTAATTACAGAATTAGAAGCATTAAGATCATTTTCTTAGTAGAGCACCTGCCGTTTAAGAGGTTAAAATATCTAGATGAGTGTTAAGAATACTATATCTAATGTTTTACTGTCTGGGCTTGTATGTGTTCAGTGAGTCTGCAGTCCAGAGACAGAATTGGAACTGGTGGGCCAGTGGTAGACTGCAGTCGTCTGTTTGACAATGACCTACCTGATGGGTGAGTTACTGTGGCAAAATGGCTGTACAGGCGTGCTATGAGTAAATGTTTTCAGTGCAGATTGATCTTTCATTGATTCTGCCTTGCTGTTAAGAACTTGCATGTGTAACTGTGTTTGTGTTGTGCAGCTGGGAAGAAAGAAGAACCGCATCTGGTCGAATCCAGTACCTTAACCACATCACACGCAGCACACAGTGGGAGAGGCCCACCAGGTGAGTGAGAACTGATCTGAGATAAGAGTTTCTGTTTTGTGTGAATAGAGACAATGGCCTCAACCTGTTTTTTTTTTCTTGCAGTGGAGATTTGCTTTATATGACAACACTGCCCACTGCAACGTTAAATTATAAACTCTGCTTTGAGCTCTTAGGTTTAAAATGCTCTTAGAAAAAGTGTTATACTAGGCTTCATATTAGAAAGTGTGTTGTGCTGTCTTTATTTTTGTAATTCGTCTTTTACAGATACCAAAGAAGGTCTGCTGAGAGCAGACGGAAGTTAATTCTGGGATTTGTCCATTTAGTCTTGTTTTGTCTGTTTTTCCATTCATATTTCAAACGAACCGCATCATAGTTTGTTTAGAAGCAGACTGCGGTTGGCCTCCTCTGGGGATTTTGACCTGTGACACAACTATGACACAAATGGAATAAAAATCTCAGAATTTTCAGCTTTGTTAGATTGCATTCCTTACATGTCAGATAAACGCAACAGCATTCAGAAATCGGTTTATTAACGGGAAAGTTTAGATAAAGCGGCTGTAATAGCCACTTTTTTGCATCTGCCTTAGAAGGTTAAGATAAGTAACTGAGTAATAATCCTAGGGTTCAAGGTGTTAGTTTTGCATTCTTTCTCAGAGAGATATTTTGCAGTGGAATCTCCCACTGAGTCACAGTAATTCCCCAAATATTATGTTGTCAGAGAGACGGTCACAGACAGTGATCACTTGGGTGATCATGGAGTGTGTGAGATTTTTTTTCAAACTTGCACCAGATACAATCCTGAAATAGTTTGGGCCATTCAAAGCTTTGACTTACTGGTGTCTCTCTCTCCCTCTATGTCAGGCCGGCATCTGAGTACTCTAGTCCAGGTCGGCCGCTCAGCTGTCTGGTGGATGAAAACACTCCCATCATGACTCCTAATGGTGCAGCAGGAGTGGAGGCAGGTGATCTGCGGGTTCAGGAGCGTCGGGTTCGTTCACAGAGACACAGAAATTACATGAGCCGAACTCATCTTCACACCCCACCAGACCTGCCCGAGGGCTACGGTTAGTTCACAGCACACGCATATATATACAGTGGTACAGTCTATCTAGTGAGGGCCACACTGCTGTTTCAACTCTTTTGCTCCTGTAGCCTCTCACTCATTCTCATGTTATGCCTTGTCTAAAGGGAAACTTGAGTTTACACTATAGCTTATAGTATTCCGCTATAGGTTTTGTTAGTTTGCTACCTGCTGACTTATCCATCATTCTCCCATGAGCACTAACCTGAATAGTCTCAGGAAGGCATCCTCTGATGCCAGTGTTGCTGATATATTACGATGTTGCTGTCATCATCTTTGTGTTTTGCTTACTTAAGATTTGACATCCGTCAGTGAGAAACAGATTTACAGTGGCAGCAGCTGGAAATAACTTTGGTTTTATCAGGAGAGCTATCAACTGAACTTCTTGAAAAGATGTATTTGACACAGAGAATTACGATCCTTGAGTCATAGCAACAACACACAAGCAGGTGAGCTTCAGAATGGAACTAACTAGTGTTAAGGGTGCTTTCACATCTAACTCGTTTGGTATGAATCTATCAATTTTTCTTTAATTCAGTTTATTCTCACAGATGTGAAAACTCCACCTGTACTCAGGTGCGCACCAAACAAATAAGGTATGGTCAGGCAAAACTCACGGGTCTCAGGTGGCTTCCAAACAAAGCCTGGTTCGGTTCACTATTGGTGGGAACATATTTTTGTGTTAGTCTGCACCAAACAGAGGAATTCGACATCAAAGCATGCTTTTCTGCTTCGTCAGTGCTGTACTGCCTGCACTGACTTTTAACAGACACTGATATAGTTCTTGCAGCACAAGCTACAGCAGATGAGCAAGAACATCATAGCTAAGCAGTGACTTTGGTTTTGGCACATGGATCGAGGAATGTGCTACAGCGACATGATAGAAATTGACAAACCAATCATAAAGAAACAAATAAGGTTTTTATTATTAATTTGATTGAGATACACAAACATTAAGCATCTCTTTTTTAATGCAAAGTAGGACTTTTTGACTCAAATGGTGGCAAATGTAAGAGTAACATAGCATTTGAATACCTGCAAAATTCCTGATCAATGTGTTATTTGATGCACTTGCAGCGAAAACAACCAACCCAAAAAAGATATAATGTCACAAAAACCCAAACTCTGGTTAGGACTGGTTAGACCAACATTAACAGCACTATAGTATACATAAAGGTGACATGGGTAACTATTGACACAGCAGTGGATTATGGCCAATAAATATAATACACCAAGTTGTTTTTGTATTTTTGTTTGAAAATCAGCACCATTAGATCAGTGCAATGATGTGTTTTACACCCCAAACACACACAAACAAACCCTTCTGTGGCTTCTGATATAACCCAGGGGAAAATGGTTAGTTCTTTGCGCACTCTGACAGCATTCATACCTTCAGCCTGCCAGAGGAATGTACTTACATAGCGCACACACAAGCATGCAGGACAGGGAGCTCAGAGCTGCTTGGCTTGTTGAAGGGAGCTGTGTTGCTGAGGGAATTGGGGTGATGCTGTAGCTCTTTGGAGAGAACAATATGTCTGAAATCTCTCTCTCTCTCTGACACGCTGTCATCACCAGCTCAGGGTTAGACGAGACCAGTCCAGGAGGAGTTTGAGTGTGTGTGTGCACGCATCTCTGGGGGGGCTTAATAGGACTGTATTTGTGTGTTCGAGCACACTTGAGTCAGCGCATCCTGTGGATGCATCCATAGAGACAGAATAGGGTGGAGATTATGCACACACATTGTGTGTGTGTGTGTGTGTGTGTGTGTGTGTGTGTGTGTGTCCATGGAGAAAGTGCAGGGTGGAGGTTAAGTACACGTAATGTGGAATATGAGTGTGTGTGTGTGTGTATGTGTAATGCAGGGCGTTGTGTGTCGAAAGGAAAGCCAGAGGGATCTCAGCCCCGTGAAAATCTCTGTCAACAATGATAAATGAGTTCTCTGTATAACACGCACACAAACTCTCTGACGACCTGTTTCTTCCATAATCCCTACACACACACACACACACACACACACTCTGCGCGTTTATAAAATCTAAGTTTTCTGCTGCATGTACTACTCCCAACATTTAATAATCTTTTAACCCATTTGGTGAGCATATCCTCACTGTCGCACTAAAACCTTTTCTCCTTTTGTGTTGTTTTTAACTTTTCAGCTACCCTTTACATTGTGTAAAAATTGGTTTAAAATTGCACTAAAATATTGTTACGTTATTTTCCATTATAAGTTAGGAATGTTTTTCCTTCTCCTGTAAAGTTACCATTTTGCAGATATAGTTTGTATAAGTTTTGTTTGGACAGTAACAATATGTTGACGTAAGTGTGGGCATGTTTGTTTTATTACGCAGATGTGATATGTTTGTTTTACTATCCAAATGTGTCCTAGTATTTTGTTAATTTAACCTGCCTTGTTAAAATAAACCATCTTGTCATTTTTAAAGTACCACAACATACAGTGGGGTCTAAAAAGTCAGAGACCACATTTGAATTAGGAAAATAAATAAAATTTTCTAGAGTTTCGAAAAATTACAAAACTACAATGAAGAAATATTCAAGATTCTGCTCTGTGTCGTGGTCACTTCAAATTTGCGTCTTATCCCTTTTACTGCAGCATGTTAAGATGATTGTCAGGTGGATTTGAACTTCTCATCAGAGGCTTGTTTAATCAGCTTTCAGCTATTGAAATTGCACACTACTGTTAAAGCAAAAGAGAGGGATTTAACTTTTCACTCACTGTTATGCTAAGGTGAAACATGCTATTATTGGTTAATATTATTTTTCCTACCCACTGGTGCACAGTGATGTAATAAAAAAATAGAAAACATTTTAGAGTCAGGCAAAAGTTGTTTCATTTTGATGACAGATTAGAGGAGAACAAGGATTTCGTGTTTTCAGTATGATGAAATCATGAATTGTATTTAATATGGCCAGACCCATGAACAGCTGCAGAAGCAGCTGATATTGTTTCATATTAATGGCCATATCTAAGCAGAAATTAAAATGAGAATATGAGGTTGATGAATCTGCCTAAAGTGTAAACTTGTTTGGTTTTTTGTTATTCATAAAAATATGAAATATTTTCTTGTTAGAATATTTGAGTTTTTTTTCCCCTTTGGAACAGCAAAAATGGTTAAAATTCACATCCTTCGTAACATACTAGAAATAGTTAAATACTCATACAGTTTAGGTTATATCCCAGTCATGCCTTTGTCACCAGAGATTAACCCTCCTCCTTTCCCTCTGATTGGTCCACAGAGCAGCGCACCACGCAGCAGGGTCAGGTGTACTTCCTGCACACCCAGACAGGTGTCAGCACTTGGCATGACCCCAGAGTACCCAGGTAAACCCCATCCACCCACCCACAGCACAGTGCTTCATGTTCACTTTTACTTTTGGCATAGACTCTAGTGTCATAGGGGTCCTGCAGACTATAAGCAACTCAGCCACCTCACAAAAAGAGTAGTACTGGAGACAGTATTATATTTATCACGATCAGCAATGAAAGTGTGGTTTGGTCTAGCACTAACCTAACCAGGAGTTCAGGAAATAATCCATTAAAAATAAAGTGTAGGATAAGACTTTGGATTTGACATATAAAGGATGTTGTAGCTGTAGTAAAGTTCAGAGGTACAAGCATTTCAGAGCTGTATCAGATATTTATGATGGATATTTTAGGTTAAAGCAGCAGTTTTTGTAAAGTTTTGAAAATTTGCCCGATCTGCTCAAAGCACCAAGAAACTGCAGTCAGCTGTTTTGTTGTTGTTGTTGATACACCACAGCTAAATTTAGGTTATTCAAGTACTATTTTTGTAGTTTTGTCACGTCAGTCCTCATGGGTATGACTCTGGCCCTAGAGGACAGCAGGGCCAGTGTCAGGAGCTTGCTTTTTCCATTATGCCCTCCACAGTACACCTACTAAGTTCATTACTCTCTGCTGTGAGAATCTTCACCCTGCTGTCATAGGACAAAGACAGCAGTCTACTCTAGTGAATTATGCTGAGGGAAACAGAAAGGCTTGCATGATTTCTCCAGACCTATTGTTTTTTCATATTTGCCTGTTTTCTTTGTTTTATTTCATTATTTTCCTTTCTTTTTGGTTTGCTTGCTTTCCTTTGTCATATTCTCTCTCTCTCTCTTTCTCTCTCTCTCTCTCTCTCTCTTTCTTTCTTTCTTTCTTTCTTTCTTTCTTTCTTTCTTTCTTTCTTTCTTTCTCTCTCTCTCTCTCTCTCTCTCTCTCTCTCTCTCTCTCTCTCTCTCTCTCTCTCTCTCTCTCTCTCAAAAGGGATCTGAGTAATGTAAATTGTGAGGAGTTGGGGCCACTGCCTCCAGGCTGGGAGATTAGGAACACAGCTACGGGTCGAGTTTACTTCGTGGACCACAACAACCGAACTACACAGTTTACTGACCCGCGGCTCTCTGCCAACCTGCACCTCGTCCTCAAGTAAGTTCTGCTCCAGCCCTGTCCATGTCGGACTCAAAAGAGTTTCTCAGAAGAGCTGGGTGTTAAGATACATCAAGCCCTTCAGCTTATAATAACAAACAGTTGTTTTGAAATCAATAAGGCTGCATTCACATTGCAAAGTTGAAGTAGCATAAATTCACTACTAATGAAATTCTTGATTTTTTTTTATTTATTTTTATTTTATTTTTTTTTTTTGCCTTAGCACAGATGTGAAGCTGTGTGAACGCAAACATAGGATCTTTTAAAATCTGATTTCAGCCACTTTCATATGTAGATGTCCTCAATGAGACACAGATCTGATACAGATTGTAGATGATTTAACATTGCGCTTCAGGGAACATGCATAAATCATTCAGCATCGGCTAATTTGATGATACATGTGTGCTGCTAGCCCTTCCAGGGCAGAACTTTCAGTGTTCACACTAATGACAGATGTGGCTCATTTGCGAACACTGAGCAAAGTCAAAATTGAACAATAAGGCCTGTAATGTGAATGTAGCCTTAACCCCAGTCATATCAGATTTGAATTTGATGTTTACGTATACATTTGTCCTTGTGCTCTTTCCCCATCAGTCCCAGTCCTAATGGTTCCCGTGGTGCTGGTGAGGCTCCAAACAGGTAAGATGTTCATCTGCTATCAGTGGTTGGTTCATATAGTGCTTTTATAATAGATCCGATTGTTTGATTGGTTTGATATGTCTACTATTAATTGAATTGCCGGTCACCAGGCAAGAAAGCAAAGGAAAAAAATAAGGGAGAAAGGAGGGGAAAAACTCTTTACAGCTGTGATGCACACAAGTGGAATGAACTGGTGGTTGAGTTTCCATGGTATGATATTATTCTCCCTCTCTCTAAAAGCCCCTCTGTCTGCTACGTGTGCGTGTGTGTGTGTGTTTCTGCCTGTGCACACTGCGGGTCAGAGGAATGCACTGATGAAGAGATCAGGTTTCGCTTTTCCTGTTCTGACAGATCAAAGAACATGTTCTACACCGCTTTTCCTTTCCATACATTTTTTCCCTCCTAGTCCAGAGAAAACCTTATAAAAACTTGAGACCCACTGTACATTTAAGTCATTTAGGTACCAAGCAAACTGGCCACCGTTCATTCGAGTGACTCATTCACTCCATAGTTCTTTAGTTTTGAAATCAGTGCATTCATTGTCATTAGGATGTAGTGTTGTATACCTCACTCATACCCTTTAATGGTTCCGAAACAGTTCTTGGCTTCTTGGATAAACCCTTTTACTGGTGTAGAACCTTTCCATTATTTGTAGGTCCTTTAAACTTTTAAAAAAGGTTCTTCACACTGACACATCTTATTCAAGTATTCTTTAGGAAACCAAAAGTGATTTTGTTAATTTTTTAAATGTACTTAATTTTAAAGAGTGTACAGTATTTGTCTAAAACTTACAAGACACTTGTTTCTCTAACATTTCTTTTTAAATCAAGGGTATTAGTTGAGTTTGTTCCCCTTTGCTGCAGTAACAACCTCTGCTCTTCTGGGAAAGCTTTACACTAGATGTTGGAATATTTCTGTAAAAATTTCATTGCATTCAACCACAGCAGTATTAATCAGGTCAGGTACTGACGTTAGATGTTCTGCATCACAAACATCACTCCAACTCATCCTAAAATTATTGAATAGAGCTCCATCACTCTAGAGAATGCAGTTCCACTGCTCAACAGCCCAATACTGGGAGGCTTTCTACCCCTCTAGCTGATGCTGGGCATTGGGCTTGATGACCTTAGGCTCATGTGCGGCTGCCGTAGACCATCCCATTCTATTAGCAGTGCTTTTCTGTAATGTTTATGCAAGCTGTGTGTGTGCAGTTGAACACTTGTGTCAACAGTGGGTGCACCTGAAAGTAGCTGAATTCACTAATCTGAAAAGGTGTCTGGTTACTTAAAGGTTTGGTAAGTATGATTTAGGGGGATATATTAGCAGAAATCTAATAAAATATAAAAGCAGAATGTAGTATACAAAACCATAGGTTCTGCTACACACTTGGAAAGGGAGGGGTGAAGGAGGGATACTCAACGCTCGATGCTACTAAATATCACACACTGCTGCTTTAACATCCAGCTGCATCATAAGCTGAAATTCTGTGTTCAATGTATGAACATCAGCAGCTTTTTAAAGTAGCAGTCTGTTTTCACAACCGATGGCTACCCTCATGAGTGTTTCTTATAAACTATAGTATCTTCCTAGAAGTGCTGTGGCCCCCATTATAGCAGCAGGACCCTCTGCATGCAGCTAGAAAATATAATTCATGGAGGAATACCCACATTGAGGACCTTCTGCGCAGATAGAATGAAATCAACCGCATTCAGACTCCATTTTGTGCTCTGGGGTAAATTGTTGCCCCCCAAGGAGCTAAGAGAAAGACAGTAGACGTCAGCCCTTGGGGGGGTCACTTTCCATTGGAGCTTAGTCTCCAGCCATTTTAAAAGGTTGGACATTCCAAGCAGTGGACACGCTCTGGTAAAGACATCAGAGGGACCTCACTCAGTGGATGAACGTCAACACATCTGTCTTCTATCATTTCAGAGGAGCTTGGAGAAGCTCAGGCTACCTCACTCTGCACCTCCCTTATGACCAAGCACATAACCTCTGCAAATAATATTGGCCTTCCATTAGGAGAGCATTGGAAGTGGTGAAACGACATACTGACATATGTAACATCACTACTTACAGTAGTAATATTTTTTGTTTGTATTTATTTTTTCATTAGTGCGTTTCTGAGCGTTGCTTAGTACTTACTGCCTTTTTAAATGTAGTTTTCTCAGGTGCCCAAAACTTTTGTATAGTATTGTATCTGTTTAAAATAGAAACAACACAGATCCTGAATTTTAACCAGTGTCCATATATCTGCGTGATATGCATGTGAAATGGAGACAGATTCTGCAGGGGAGGTAGAATTCGGCACAACACCTGTTGTCTGAAAATCACGTGATGCCTAAAATCGAGTAATAGAAAATGCATATGATGATAATTGCTAATTATCAAGTTTTGAATTATTTTTGGCCCTTTTCATCAAGCCCTACCTTCCAGTCACGCAACTGTGTGTCAGTGTCCATAAATACTTCAAATTGCCTGTTGCATTTTGAAGGTGTTTGTGGAATTTTCAAGGTGTCTGAGGATTGTTACTGCAGGACTGTGATTCCTCTGTGGTGATGTTAGTCACAGCCACTGTGGCTTTAACGCAGCGCTACTGAGCCTGACCCTTCCTTTGGGTACAACACACTCCCATTGCTTCGCCTCTCCATCTCCCTCTCTTTTTTGATTGCCTCACTCACCCTTCTCCTACTGCATGTCCTGTCTTCTCTTCTGTCTCATATTTTCTCTTTATCAGATCATCCCTCCTTCCCTCCCCTCTAGCGCTGCCTTTACTGTCCACATGCTGCTTCTCCTTTTTCTCCTTGTTTTGCCCATTACTCTAACCTTCATCACTGTCAATTTTCCTCTCGCTCTCTCTTTTCCTCGACTCTAGCCTCGCTCCCTGAGACAAGTTATCTGTATTTGAAGTGCATATGTGCACATGTATGCATGTGTTCAGAATGTGGCAGCTCTGCTCTCTGCTCAGCTGGGCGAGGCTCTGCAGACACCACAGCAGCCGCTCAGGAATGAAGGCAGCCAGGGAGAGAGAGAGAGAGAGAGACCACACTGCAGATCACTGCACGCACGCACACACACACACACTTACCCATAGCCCACTGAGGCAGAGAGAGTCTGCGTTTTCCTGCTGGATCACAAATCAAACTTCACAATCACCCTTAAAAAATTGAACGGTAGTAATCAAATAGGAAACTTTAGGATTTACTCTTGCCCTTGTTTAGTATTCCTGTATTTGTAGAGTTGGGGCTGGGTGATCACAGGAGACATTTTCACACTGCACAATATACATCACAATATTTAGGGGTTTTTTTCCAGAAGTTTGAGAAGTTGTAACAAAAGCATTTAAAAATGCTATTGAAACTAAGAGTACAATATTTTTTTTTATGGCCAGACTGAGGATTAAATTCACTCGGGATAAGCACATCTTCCAAATGCATAAATGTACATTGAAAATTCAACTGCGCTGAATTTAATGTGCTTAGAGAACTCATCATGCTCTCTGAATGAAACATGCTGTTCATCAGTGTGTTTTAAGTACTGATAATATCCAGTGTGCATCATGAAAGCAATTAATGCCATCATTTTGCCCACACTTTCCTGTAGTACCGTTTTATAGTAATCTATAGTAACCTTGTTTATTGTCCTGTAGTAGTCAATAGTAATCTGTCTGAGTTTACTTTAAGATTCTTAAAGGAATTACTTTACCATGATTATTATTATTTTTATGAAGTAGATATAGCTACTAAAAACTCAGTTGTCAGTAAGAGCCTTTTTTAGCTGAAGCAGTGGTGCCAGCCTGTGAAAGCCCCCGAGTTTCTGTCCCACTGAACCAGTGCCCTCAGCATAGGGTCACGGTCTGTTTAAAAATGCTCTTTGTGAAAGAGCTCTGTCCTCTATCTTTGGAAAGTTGTGTTTTTGGAGATGAAGGTGGATTGTGTCTGGGAGATGTCTATGGCACCGTGCCCTGCTGCTTTGGCATTACAGCTATGTGAGAACTGGCATGTGAAGGATGTGGGGATGTCGGGGGGAAGCAGTGTGAGTGCAGGCAGAGGCTTGTTAGGAAGATTGTGTGTGAGTGTGTGTAGACTGAACCGGAGTGTCTGCGTGTCAGTGCTTGTTTTGAATTTCCAAAATCTCAAAAATTAATATAAGATTAATCAATTATTGTTAAAAGCCTTTCCACGCTAAATGCTGTCTGATCCACTCAGACCAGTGCAACACACACTAACAAACCACCACCACATCAGTGTTATTGCAGTGCTGAGAATGATCCACCACTCTAATAGTACCTGCTCTGTGAGGGTCCATGGGAGTCCTGACCACTGAAGAACAGGGTAAAAAGGGGCTAACAAAGTATACAGAGAAACAGATGGACTACAGTCTGTAATTGTAGAACTACAAAGTGCACTTATATAATAAGTAGAGCTGATAAAATGGACAGTGAGCATAGAAACAAGGTCATAATGTTATGCCTGATCTGTGTGAATGACACAAATGTGAGAAATATTTTGTAACTAATTTTTTGGAACATTTTGAAATTTCATGACTTTTGCTCCTGACAAAAAAGTGTGGATACATCCTGTTTCGAAAAGCAAAAGGAACATAGTTTCACTGCCTCACTCAGGAACTGAAACTTTATAATAAGATTAATGATTTCACAACTTTTAGATGCCCCACACCTGACAAAACAAAGGATTAACTGTACTGTCTATACTGTTGCTAAGCCAACGCCAAAGACAACAAACGAGAGAAAGAATGTTGCATTTTCATCATTCATAAAATCTTGGTGTGCAACATCCTATCAGTTATGCATGCGTTTGTAAAAGTTTATCAAATTCTCAATTAATGACAAGTCAGATTAAATGTATAAAGGCCTTTGTACTGCAAATGTGCATATCTTGTAAATATCTTCACCAAAAAGCAATAACGGTCTCTCTCTCTGTGTGTCTGTGAAGTCGTGCAGGTCAGCTGAAAGACCAGGCCCAGTCTGCACTGTCTCCTGGTAACCTGCCTGAAGATGCAGAGTGTCTGACTGTGCCCAAGTACAAGAGAGACCTGGTGCAGAAGCTGAAGATCCTCCGGCAGGAGCTCTCACAGCAGCAGCCACAGGCTGGACACTGCCGCATCGAAGTGTCCCGCGAAGAGATCTTTGAGGTAACATGGTGGATCCACTTGAATGAGTATAAACTATACTGACGTGACCTCACAAGATTTTAGTTCAGTAACAGTTCAGTGCACACTGCAATCTCAATTTTTACTATGATTTGATTCAATTTGCTTATTTTACTATGATTCACAATTTTTTACACTGATTTACACTGAGTAGACAAATATGACTGGAGGAACTAACACAACCAAGGAAAACACAAAACAAAAACAATATAGCAAGTGTGTTTGTTTGAAAATAACCTGTAAGTTTTGTTTAGGTCTAAAAATTCTAATTACAATTAATTATTGCTGTTTATAACATTCCAAAAGTAAGCATCACATAACTGGCATCACTAAGTGGGGTTTGATAGTAACAGACTGAAAAGTCTTGTAAATGGATGAACAGTTCAGTGCTGTTTAGTGCTGGGTATCGGGTACCAATTTAGTTCCGGTTCCTGACTGGTCAGTACCGAAATATCAATAAGCTCCTGGACAAACGGTGCTGCTTTTGGTATTTATGTAATGTTAATTCATTCTACATAGCTGGCATTTTCAAATGGATGGTGCTAGACTGGATTAGAGGCTCATGTTAAAACTACAGATAGAATAGTTTGATAGTCTAAATGTCAGAAAATGTTTCCAACATTAAAAGAATAACTAGGATATTTTGACAGCCTAAATCAGGTTATCAGGGGGAGTAGTAATATTAAGATGAGTCTGTACTGAATTAAAATTTGGTAGCTAGCATAGCATAAATCGCTAACTGATGGGTAGCCTAAGTTTGAACTTGGTGTGAGCTGTCCTGACAACCAGGAGTAACTAATTTTGCTTTGCTTATGGTCACTATTTTCAACTGTAGGGAGATAACAGCCTTTTCACATCTTTGCATTTTGAATCTTTTCACATCTTTTGTGAAAAGTCTATGTCATGTCTTTGTTTATGGAAAGTATAATCAAGCAGTATTGATAGTATTGGTGTTGATTGCAGTATAGATAAAATCCTAACAATACACATCCCTAATGCTGTTTCAACCAGCCAGGCTTTCCAACCTAAATATGTAAAAGTACATTCATTAAAATGAATGTGATCTGTAAAAAGAGACGGCCAGTTGGAAATGAGTGAGTGACAAACGTGGCAAATTTATTTTTGACCATAAAATTTAAATACATTTTATTTACATGACATCTTTTGTACATTTTTGATAAATCTGTACATGAAAACTTCCAAATAATTAACCGCTGTGAACTAATATGAGAAGCTATAGACTTGCCTCATTGTTTACTTTTGGAGGCTTAGTTGTAACATGGGGTTAGCTGTAACATCATTAACACATTTCTGCACATTTTAGTGCACAATTACTGTTTATTTGCTGAATTTAACATATTGAAAGGGAAAATAAATAATTAAATATGGCCTATGCAAGAGTAATGGTAGATTGTTTTTTTCCTGTGTTATCTCAGCAAATAAGTATAAATTGCACACAAAATTTACACTCTGAAGATTTTTCAGATCTGAAGTAAGAGTGGAGCTTGATTTTCTCCACTCTCTCAAAGATATAAGCTTGAAGAACTGTCTGTCTGATGGTGACAATGTTCTCTGAAGAGGGAACTTGCCATTTGACCAGGGACGTTCAAACTTTTGTATACAACTGTACAGCAACCCAGTAACTGAAAATCACTTAGGACGAAAAAATTTATGGTCTAAAACAGGGGTGCTCAGTCCTCATCCTGGAGAGTTCAGAGCCAACAAACTCTACAGGGTGATAGATCTCCAGGACCAGGATTGGGCACCCCTGGTCTAAAAAGAGTCTTCAGGTTGAATCTGGAGAATCGTGTCTGATTGCTGTGAAGGTTCACAGATCACATAGCTAAGGTAATGTGAAAAATTATCCGTGTTACGTTTCACCCCATGTTAGTTACAGACATAGAGCTCAGTAATACAACATGGCATGAAGCAGCAGGCTTTTCACTGACTGATGATGAGGGCAGAGAGTGGCTGCTGGTTTGTTGCTCCCCTGGCAGAGCCTGACTGTGAGCCATGTGCTCTCGCTGGAGTGTGACATCTGCCATACTGCCACACAGCCTTCTTTTTTCCTTTCTCTCCTCTTGTGCTGAGAGCAGAGAGGAAGCTCATTTTGTGCCCCTGCTGTGCTGGCTTGTTTTGCTGACCCCCTATTGTAGCTCTTTTTTCTTCACTCTCTCGCTGTCTGCCTCCGTCATCCCTCACTGCCTACCAGCAAAACACTTGAGCAAGACAGTAAATAAAAGTCTAAAGGCTGTTTTAATTGTGTGTAAACATGCCTGGGAGCTCAATTTGGTATTACTTCTTTCATCCACTAATGAGAAAGTCCTTAACACGCATGTTTAGTTGGCTGAGCTCGTGTGCGACCGCTATGTAAGCCTACCAGCCATTAGAAGTATGCGTGTGTGACTTCTCTTTTTTTTTCTATTTGTTATTAAGCCTGTCTCTAGCCATGGACCTGCTGTAGGATGGTTTTGAGCCATATGTGTTTGTGTGCACACTTGTTTTTCCCCTACCGCTCCACAGCTTGAAGTGATTTTGCCTGAGTGGGCTCGTCTGGGTTTGGGTGCTTAAGGGAGTGTGAGGCTGAACTCTTGGAGATGTTTCTGATGCTGCATTCCACCGTTCCTCTGTGTTCTCTCCAGAGCTCCAGAGGCATGCAAGCCTGCAACAGACAGATTATATGGGCCCACAGAGCAAAAACAAGTCTGCGTGCATGTTTTTGCGTATATCACTGTTCACTTGTCCGCAGATTCAGAATGTCTGTGAAATTCAGAATGTGTTGTTAAATGCCTTTACTATGTTATTCCAGTATCAAAAAGTACTGTCTTTATGAAATATATAGAATGTGTTGCTTTTCTTTAATTATAGCTGTCCTGCTGGTTACTAAGCAGCATTTTCTGACCTCTCCTTCCTCAGGAGTCGTACCGGCAGGTGATGAAGATGAGGCCGAAAGACTTGTGGAAGAGACTGATGGTGAAGTTCAGAGGAGAGGAAGGACTGGATTATGGAGGAGTAGCCAGGTATGACCTTCACCTACATACTAATTAGGACAGGAAAAACAGAAATTATCTCAGATCAGGGTCTGTATTCACAAAGCTTCTCAAGAGTAGGAGTGCTGATCTGGGATCTGTCCCTGTCAGTAAAGTCTTAGTAAATGAGAGAAGAATCTGACCCTGGATCAGTACTCGTACTCCGGGAAGCTTTGTGAATACAGGCCAAGCGCTTTTGTTCTTTTAGGGCTTACGCTGAGACATTTTGTTCACTTGATCCTAATTCCTGATGAAGGCAGACTGGAAACTAGACCCTTTAGACCCTCTAGTGGTGACAGATGGGTATTACACAAGTCAAATGTGAACTGAACTTCTGAGCATCTCAAGAATGACCTTCTCCTATATTTGTGGAACAGAAATACAAACTCTGGTGACCAGACTTGAAAATTGCACAAGATTACTATGCTTAATGTGTTTGCTTGCGTGTGTTTGCAGGGAGTGGTTATACCTCCTGTCACATGAGATGTTGAATCCATACTACGGCCTCTTCCAGTACTCGCGGGATGACATCTACACTCTACAGATCAACCCAGACTCTGCCGTCAACCCGGTACATAACTTAATTGAGCAAAAAGCCAGACAGCAACACCTCTGCTTGGCATTTTATCAGCTTTGTGCATAACCTTTTGACAGTCTTGTTGTGACTTACAGAACTTAGGCAATGGTTTTCATCACAAACAGATATATGTCGAAAAGTAAAGAGTAAGGGGTAATTTAGACAACGCCTCTTCAGATTCTCTGAATCAAGCTTCTGTCATTGTCATCTATGGACCATCTATTGTACCACTACTGAAAAGCACTGCGCAGTGTGCAATACACCCAGCCATTAGTTGTTTGCAATATGATGATATTTTATTGTTATCATGATACACAAAATGCATTTCTGAGCATATCATGGATATTGTTTGTACTTAAAGAACACTGACCAACTGCATCTTTCATTCCAAAGAGACTGTAATTAGTCCTGTTTAATTGGAATTAATGCAGCACAGTATGTGAAATGCAGAATCAAAACCTTTGTAGTCATAGTTTTTAATATTGGTTTTTAAAACTTTGTAATATCGTGCATCATGACCATTTCACATATCATGATATACAATTTTTTTCCATATCACCCACCCCAAACAGCCATACATCACTGCATCAATGTCAAGGAAGTCTCATCTAGTGACTAACAGACCAAAAGCTAGTTCTGGCTGATTTTTAACACTCAGTGCTGTACAGCACTCGGCACGAAGATTAACACAAACTCCTTGTGAAAAAAAAGAAGATTTTAATTTATTTTTTCTGTCAGTTTCAAAATGTTTATTGCACATTTTTAGTTTTTGGAGTTGTCTCAAATTGTTTTCTCCTGTCCGCCTACTACTCAAACATATGCGTCAACTCGTCTCCTTTAAAAAGACATTGTCTGAACATCCCCTAACTGAGCTCCTCTGAAAAACAAACCATGCTTATATCTGTACTGCTGGTGCAGTTAAATCATCAATTATTGATTGTTGGACTGTTTTCATTTCAGGAACACTTGTCCTACTTCCACTTTGTGGGCCGCATAATGGGCATGGCTGTGTTCCACGGCCATTACATAGATGGCGGCTTTACTCTGCCCTTTTACAAGCAACTGCTGGGCAAACCCATCACCCTGGATGACATGGAGTCTGTAGACCCTGACCTGCACAACAGTTTAGTCTGGATCCTGTGAGTGCTCCTCAATTCCTGCTTAAACCAGATGACTAGTTACCTTACAAGTTGCAGTGAAACAGTTTATCATTTTTTTGTTTGTTTGTTTTCACAGACCACTCAGTTCTGATGATTTCTCTGACATTTCCTAGCATTCAGCATTTTTGTGACTGTAGCAGTTTTCATGTAGATCTAGTGTTCCAGATCCATATTACATGCATACATGCCTGTGATATTCTTCTTAGCAGACCAAGCAGTCTGAGGTCTTTAGTTGTTTTTTTTAGAGGAATAATAATTTAGAGTTCACTGGTTCACTTTTAAAACGTCTTATGGGATGATGGTAGTCGGCTGATTATCAGTATGATGCATGTAGCATTATACACATTTCCATAGCATGTTTCTTCAGAACATGTCAAGTATATGTAATAATTTCCCCCAATCTGTGTTCTCAGTGACAATGACATCACAGGGGTACTGGACCACACATTTTGTGTAGAGCACAATGCATATGGGGAGATCATTCAGCATGAGCTCAAACCAAATGGCAAGAGCATCCCTGTAACCCAGGAGACCAAGAAGGAGTATGTCAGGTATGTTTATACAGCTCTTATACAGCTCTTGCGCTTGAACTGGGCTGACTTTATTCGACTTTGATGCAGCACTTATTCTGACCACAAGGTGATGCTAATATCATGGGTTTGGTCTCCTGCAGGCTTTATGTTAATTGGCGGTTCCTGAGAGGCATTGAGGCTCAGTTCCTGGCCCTGCAGAAAGGCTTCAATGAGGTCATACCACAACACCTGCTCAAGGCCTTTGATGAGAAAGAGCTTGAGGTATTAGAATTTGAATGCTTATGAATACCTCTTTAATACAGAAAGTGTTGAAAAGTTGAGCACTTTGTTGATTTTAGCTGGTACTTTTTTTCACAACTGCTAATTTTTGCTAACACACTGCATTAATAATTGCTTGTGAATTTTTACAGAATGTATTTTATCAAATATTCTGTGTGATGTGACTGACAAGTCTTCCATTTCTGTACTTAGTGGCACAGTTTCAGTCTTAAGGTTTAAGTTTTAATATGTATTTCCACATGACCTCACTTTGCACCACACCCCATCCTTTCCCTCTGCCAGCTGATCGTGTGTGGCCTGGGGAAGATCGACATAAACGACTGGAAGTCCAACACACGATTGAAGCACTGCACACCAGACAGCAACATCGTGAAGTGGTTCTGGCGAGCTGTTGAGTCATTCGATGAGGAGCGGAGAGCCCGACTGCTGCAGTTCGTCACCGGCTCCTCCAGAGTGCCGCTGCAGGGCTTCAAAGCTTTACAAGGTATTTCAGCTCAGGCCATTTATACCAATGGGATGAACCTTAAGAGCAGATAGTTGGGGGGTGGATACACAGTTATCAGCACTAAGTGCATAGTAGTACTTGTGCAAAAGTCAGAGATCTTCTATTCATTTCATTTCCAGTCAAAGCAGCCATTAAGTTCAAGTTATTCATTTTTCATGAGTTGTTTCTAAGGAGATCCACTTACATAAGCAAGGAGAAAGTGAAAAGAGAAAAAAGGGAAAAGCATTTCTAAAGCTGGAGTTTAAAAAATTGTTAAAAGATGTAGAGAAGCTTGGGTTCCCAACAACTGTGCAGGGCCTGGTAGACCACCAAAACTGTCACCATCAGATAAACAGTACTTTAAGCTTACATCTTTGAGAGAGAGGAGAAAATCAAGCTCCACTCTTACTTCAGATCTGAAAAATCCACAGGTGTTTCTGTCCATCCTTCCACTGTGAGAGGACAACCCAAACAAAGAAGCTGCTGATGTTCTCATAACAATGGATGGACCACACCGGAGTCCAAACCTGAACATCATTGAATATGTTTGGGATTACTTAGATTGAGAAGCAGAAAATGCAACCAACTTCTAAGACTAAACTTTTTGTGTAATGTTCTGTTAAATGGATGTTTTTGCTTTTTCTCCTGACAACTAAAAAATTAATGGTCATTTTGACTAGAAATTAAATAAATGAAGGGTGGTCTGACATTTTACAGTACTGTATATTGTACTAGTATGTCTTTTAGTCGGGGTGTAAAATTGTTGGATCAATCTAAAGGTGATGATTCAACTACATTAATTTTGAAATGTTAGAAATTACACCACAGTCAGTTAAACTTTTAACACTTGTAATGGTATGCCTGTACATGTTCTCACGCGATCTTGATGTGTTTGGGGTCCAGGAGCTGCAGGCCCGCGTCTCTTCACCATCCATCAGATTGATGCCAGCACCGATAACCTCCCCAAGGCCCACACATGGTGAGTGAAAACACTTCAGCCTTTCTGCCCTCAGTTTAGCAGAATGTGTGATCTGTTTTTATACTTCCATTGTTGTTCATAAGAATTCAGGGATACAGTTAAACAGTGTTAGGCACATCAGTCAAGCTGGTATTAACTGTTCAATTTTTTGTGTTCCCGTAGCTTCAACCGCATTGACATTCCTCCATACGAGCACTATGACAAGCTCTACGACAAACTTCTAACAGCCATTGAGGAGACTTGTGGCTTTGCCGTGGAGTGATTGGCCTGCATTTAGTGGATGAGCTGTTTTGTGGGAGGAGTTGACCCGTCACTCTACCCCAAGGGGGGTGGCCTATGGTTCAGCAGCACCGCCCCTGTCATCAGAAGCAGGGACAGGACTAGGAATAGGATGATGAGAGGGATGGAATATTTTGCAGCACTCTATGCCTAATTCAGCTACATGGGTTTTTTTTCTGCTTCCCTGCATATTTTTTTGTTTTGTTTTGTTTTTTAAGACAAAAATGGACTTTTTTTCAGCTGCTAGTAACTCTTGACTTTTTACCATTTTTTGGAACATGTGTAAATGACTGCTCTTCCTCTTGTGTTTTTTAGCATTAAGAAAAAAGATATAGACAGTATTTCATGTAGCGTCTGTACCAACTGACTGAGGAGAAAGGAGGGACACTGGTGGGGTGCCAACAGAGCACTCCTGCATAAGCTAACAGAGTAGCACTACTGCCCTTACTGAAGACAAGTGGAAGATGCCAGTGTCGACAAAGGACTACACGCAATGGTGTTTGTTTGCCAGGTGGACTTGGAAGCCCTTGTAGCAGGTCCTAGTCTTCTGAAGTAGAACAGGGTGTGATACTCTAATATCTTGTTGCATGGTGGACATTTGGGGCCCGACATGCCATTGCAAGCTACAAAGGAGCTCTAATGAGGGCTCTCATTTAGGGCCCTAGTGCAAGTGCCCTGCTGGCCACTGTTAAGCCCATAAACACCAGAAACCATCACAACTACCTGTGCTCCATTCCGTAAAACCAGTCTCATCAGCAGTCTGATGTATAAGCTTCTTTGAAATGAATGAATGAATGATCGCTTGATGGATTGATTGAGTGTTATTTTTATAGGACACGGGGGAAACATGTAGAAATGAACAACCAAATTATATAGAATTATAATTTATTACCCTTATTTACCCACTATAAACTTGTGTTCTCCAGAGCAAAAAAAAAATGAAGTGGAACATGTACACTGCTTTGCCATGGATGACTTAACAGGTGGCAGTTCAAAGAAAGGAAAGGTGATATGAATGTTTTAAGGAACCCATCTCCTTTAGTGCCATTTATTTTTTAAAACGCATGATTTGACATCATCAGACCTGAACATCCTAACGGCTAACTAAAGGTATGTCTATGCGCATGTATGATGGATTTCATTTTGTACCCTTCAGTCATGGAATCTCTGTTTCTTATTGACCCCAAAAAGAATGATAAGGCTACATTAAGGTGTGGTTCCTGTATTGAGTATCAACACTAATATTGCCTGCTATGACTCACAGGAAACAAAAGGCATAATTAAATTTTACTATTTTTTACTGTATCTGATACTCTTAAGATTAAGATTGAGACCCTTATTAGTCCCACAATGGGGAAATTTCACCTCCACAATCTAACCCATTCGTTACACCACATACACACTAGTGAACACACACACTAGGGGGCAGTGAGCACACTGCCCAGGGTGGTGGGCAGCCCTATCCGCAGTGCCCGGGGAGCAGTTGGGGGTTAGGTGCCTTGCTCAAGGGCACCTCAGTCACGTACTGTTGGCTCAGGGGATCGAACCAGTGACCTTTCGGTCACAAGGCTTGTTCCCTAACCTCCACCCAACAACTCCCCCCTCTTGTATAGTTACTTAAATTATATCGGTGAGCAGACATTTAATTACGCTACAGGGTGAGCAATGGTGAAGTAATCCAAGTTTAAAGGTTCAAACACAAACAAAAATAGATGACGCTGACATTTAGAACATGGCTACAGCGGATTTTAGCCATTTTGTCCTTCTGCTTCAAGGGGACTGTAGCCGCAGTACCTGACTATGAATTACTTTGGACAAAAGTGTCCGTTAAATGACTAAATCTCAAATGTGTCACCAGTTATACCCAAACGCCTTGAAAACCGTTTGTATTATTTTAAATGTGTAGCCTCAGACATAGTGCAACACCTTTTTTTTTTTTTTGATACTTTCCAGCTTCATTCTAGGACTCACAAGCAACATATTTGATTCTTAAACAACGGCTTGAATTTTTAGCTGTCCTCTCTAGTAAAAAAGTCTCCATCATATTTATTTTATTTCATAAGCTCATGTTAGATGGTTGAATGTTTGAGATGATACTTGTCTATAGCAATCCTCTATGACCATGGACTGTTGTTAAAATTTGCATATGCTGAAAATGAATTACACTTCTCGTTGTATTACTTTTTTTTATAAACTGAGTGTGGAAAAAAAAAGTGGAAAAAATAATCTCTGGATAAAGTGATTATCCTGAAGTTATCCTGAAAAGGTGCTTTGTACAGTAATAGAATATTGTCCTTATACAGTTGGCCATGTGGATCACAGAAATCTGTCATATATCTTTAACTTAAATAGAAAGATATAAAAAGACATTGGGGGAAAATACATTTTTGCACACATGCAGACTGTAATTGTTGTAAATAATAGGCAAAAAAAAATTCTATTTACCGAACTCTTTATGAACGGAATGAATTTTTTTAAATGTATTTCATTTACTTTCAAGTCCAGTGCACACATACAGACTCTCTTCTCATCATTTTTTGTTTTCTTCTCTTTACTCAGCGTCACTCTTTTGTTGTACAGCTGCCTCCAGGACGTTGGACTGGATGTTGTTTTGGCATGTTAAAATTCGAGAGGCGCCTCTGGTTTATTTTAGCATGACTTACTAGCAGGACTATATCTCATAGTTGACAGGTGCAATTTGTTTAATGTAACACACTATCATTTTTTGTAAGAGTATTTTATTTTTGTGTGTAATTAGTTCTGATTAAACTGGCTTTTGGCACCAACGGCTGCTTTTATCTGTTTGTGTCTACATGTACATGTCTGGTAGTAGCTTATCCAGATCCTGAAAAAAGCCCCTCAGTTAAGAAACATCCAGTCGCTTTAACTTCCTACTGCTAGACAATTCAGTGAGCTGAGTGACTGAAAATCACAAAAAAATAAAAGCACATTTAAATGAGTGGCTCAGTGTTATTCATTCCAAAGGAGTCACTGGTTTACCATTTACTGCTCAAAGACACTTTCAGGCAGTGTGATCATTTAAAGAGGAATACCATTGATTTTTCAAAATGAATAATTAAGTAGTTGCAGTGTAAATAAAGTCATTCAAAGTGTTTTGATTAGAAATGCACTATTCAAGAGAAAAGAATGGTGCACAGTGGTGGTGATAAGAACCAGATGTCCGGACAGTTTAATGCCTTTAAAGGACACCTCACAAACGAATATTACATGAAATGGTTATGAATTGTGCTGCCTGATGCCTTTTTTCTCGGTAGTTTAGCAATAAACTATTTTTAAATCCATTCATGGTGGAGAGGTACATGCAGTGTATTGTAAGGTAAAATAATCCCGAAAGAAAACATTTTTGGAGATTTACCGCTATTTTCCAATCATCAACATTACATACACTTATTGAGCCATTTATTAGAATCACCTCTTCACCTACTCATTTGATTAACTAATCAGCCAATCGTGTGGCAGCGGTGCACTGCATTAATCGTGCAGACATGGGCCACTAACTTTAAGTAATGTCCACATCAACTATCTGAATGAAGGATTACACACAATGGGATTTTCATACACAGTGGTGCAATAAAGAAAAAACATCCAGTTAGTGGCATGCAGAGATGCCTTGTTGATGAGGGAGGTCAACAGAGAATGGTCAGATAAGTTCGAGCTAAAAGAAAGGCTAATGTACACGTCAAACCTTGATGCTGATAGGCTACAACAGCAGAAGACCATGTTGGGTTCCACTTCTGTCAGCCAAGAACAGAAAGCTGTGGGTGCAGATTCATCAAACTGCAAAGTTGAAGACTGGAAAACAAGCCTGGCCTGATGAATCTCAATTTCTGCTGAGGCACCAACAGCATGAATCCATGGAGCCAACCTGCTTTGTGTAAACAGTCCAGGCTGGTGGAGGTGGTGTAATGATTTTATGAATGTTTTCTTGGCACACTTTGGGCCTGTTAATACCAATCAGTCATCGCTTGAATGCCACAGCCTATCTGAGTATTGTTGCTGACCATGTGCATCTCTTCAACTGACCCATCTTCTAATGGCTACGTCTAGGATAATAATGCACCATGTCACAGCAGGTCTTTCCAAACAGTTTTCATAAACATGACAGTGAGTTCAGTGTTCTTTAGTGGTCTTCCCAGTCACTGGACCTGAGTCCAGTAGAACACTTTGGGATGTGGTAGAGTGGGAGATTTGTAGCATGAAAGTACACCTTGAAAATCTGCAGGAGTCACATGATGGAGTCCAGGAATGTTTCCAATTTTTTTGTGACTTAGTGTTCTTTACAGTGGTGGTGATGGGGAACCAGGAGTCACACAACACAAACATAGTCAAATGAGCAATGAACCTCCGTCTGTCTTCTGAGTTTTTATATGTGATGTTGATAAAAGTAAAATATGGAAGATACATACAACATCTAAAATATGTTTTAGGCCAAAACCTTCTCAAAACTATCGTGACACAACCATTTCATGTGATAACCTTCTGTGAGGGAGCTTTTAGAGGCATTAAAAGCTTCAGAAATCTGGTTCCCATCACATCCACTGTGAGTTTCTCAAATGGAACATTTCACATCAGACCACTCTGAATCACTTTGTGTATATACTTTAAAAAGATGGTTCTTCAAGGGTTCTATTTAGAACCATAAGATCTATATAGAAGCATTTCATGCTTAAACAGTTCTTTGTATGGTGAAATTGTTCTTCAGATTAATAGACAATGTGTTGTACATGGTTCTATATAGCACCAAAAAGGGTTCTGCTATTGTTAAGATGTCAAGCCTTTGAGTTAAGCCTTAAATTAAAAATTAAATGCGTCCCCCTTTAACATTAGATTCCACGCATATATACTTTTCTCTTATACTTTTTGCTGTAAACTGCCCATTGTAATTCTGATGAGGGCATTTGGGCCATCTTTCAGCAGGCTGAGACAAAGAAAGCAGTTGTCCCTGTTATAATGATAAAGGATTTGTCCTTTGTTTTGAAAGGAGTGAGTGGGGTGTGAACAGCCTCCTGTTAGCAAGAGAGACAGGTGTTAGCCTGTTCTGAGGTAAAACGTTGGTTATAACTTGACCATTTGGAACATTACATTAGGTCACTCAGGAGAGATGTATGAGCGATAATGTCTTTATGAAATGTTCACCAGACAGTGTGAAGTTTCTCTGAGCTGCTATGACCAGAAATAGCATCTTAGGCTAGCAGTGAGATTTCCTTAGTAAACATGTAGGCTGAGTTGGGCAGAATAATTTAAAAAAGTAGTGATGGCTGAACACTAAATACACTGTCCTAAATATATTCAGTAACAAATTCCATTACAGCACAGAAAGTAATCAGAATACACATAGAATACATCTTGATAAGGCACATGGAAATAGTTACTGTTACTGTTGGCTGTTTTCTTCATGTAATCCTTTTGTTAATATGCATTATGGACAGTTTGCTTATCATTTCAGGGAGTTTTAGAAATTCTCAAGTTTTTTTTATTCACATCTCTTGCTTTAGTCCACTGCTGCTCCCCGAGCAGGACTGCTGCTCTTGCGAACTTAGCAAAAGTGGATCACTTTTTTGTTCACTGTGCCAGGGGACCCTCATAAAATCTATGTTCTCATGTCTTTTGTGTTTTGTGAGTTGTCTTCTATTCTGCCCTCTCTCCTTTCATGCTGTCCTCTCTTCACTGACTGAGTTTCACCACCTCCTTCCTGCCACTGGGAGCCTGATATTGGTGCCGACTTTTACATTTCATGGTGGTGATGACATGTTGAAACAGTTAATAAACATTGAAACACTGAGCATGTTTCTTTAAAAAATTATGCTTATTTTTTTTAGATTAGTGATTTAGTAAGAATTCTCAAAGGATTCCCTTTAAAAAAATGTTAAAAGAAACTGTTTTGAATACGGTCTTTTTTAAACAGAACTAAATTCAGGTCATTTTTGTGTTCACATTTATTTACATATATCAAATACTTTAATTCGGTTTAATCCCAAACTTGTACACACAGTCATATGCTATATAATGAGATGTTTTGTTGATTTTCTTCATGAAAATAAGTTAACACATCCTCTACAGAGAACACACCTCTGCACTTTTCATGGACTATATTACTGTTTATTTGCTGGATTTCACAATTTGGGAAAAAAGTATATATATATATATATGTATAGAGAGAGAGAGAGAGAGAGAGAGAGAGATTTTGTGTTGGGCTACAGTTCAGACAGTATATAGACAGTACATGTGGACACTCATATACTGCACATATGGTCATTCATATGGTTGAATGAAATAAAATAAAATAAAATAAAACACAGAGTAAATAAAGCTCATTTTAGAGAATCAGAAACACGTTTAAGAACATGAGCAGATCGACAGAGAGCGGCTCAGAGCACGTGGAGGAGAATGACGTAATTTCCTGTTCGTATAAAGGCGTAGTGAGCGCAGCCGGTAGCGGCATTCAGAGCACCATCACTGCCGGCGGAGGAAGGACGGAGAGGGGCCCAAACTAGCTTTACTTTAGTCCTTAACTTTTGTTTTTACCTTTTAATTTATTACCTTTAGCAACAACCATGCCTGGATATTCAGACAGAGACCGCAGCCGCGACAGAAAGTGAGTCTCCTCTTTTTATCTTGTTCGCTAAGCTAGCGCGTTGGGCCGGTTAGCTTAGCTAGCCTCCGTTAATGTTGGAACACATCGTCAGCACATTAATTTCATTTTTTAAATTGACTCTTAAGTGTTAAATGTTAAGAGGTCAGTTTTCGGACTAAATATCAAAGATTAAGGTTAATGGTAAGTCGTGTTAGCGAGTAATTCAGCTGACTGGCCAGCCGGCTGTTGCTAGCTAATAGCTCGACAGACTGTTTTGCGTTGAAATATCCTTTAATTATACGGGACGGTTAGTATCTCAGTGACAGTTTGGCTAGTTTAACCGTTATGCATGTGTCCTGATCGCGATGTCGAGTCATTTCTGTGTGTATTCTCAGTATTAGCGTCCTCTCCAGTGAGGCCTTGTCTCGCCATGTGGCTGAAGCTGATGCCGGTACAAAATGCCGGCCGGTTTTTTTCCTTTGTTTCCTTGCCGGTCCGAATTAAAATGGCAGCGGCTTAAAACGTGACGCAGACATCATAAACTAACATCGCCACCGCCGATACTGAGCTTATACTCTTAACATTTTCATGGCTTGTTTCCCGTTTGACCTCTTTTTTTCTTGTACCATGGCCTAAACATTGGTGGTCGAGTTCTGTAAACCAGTAACTAAGTTAATTAAGAGGAAATTCTACCGGGTTTTCAAAACTTATCAACAGCTCACTCCGTGATATGTAAACAGTGTATATGGCAGTGTATATCTAACCATGAAATGTAGTCATTTTTTATGAGGAGCTTCCAGGGGCATTGAACTCATCAGGCCTCTGGTTCCCATCCCCACTGCTGTGAACAATTCTGACTCTGCAAGTTTCTGTAAAATGGAGTATTTTATACTAAAACGCTCAATTATTTTGTTTACATCTGTCATTTAATGTAGAATGTAGTTGAAAAATCAGGAGTCCCATTTTAAGCTATCTAAACATGTATGACTCATGGCTGCTTGGAAAATATGATTAACTTCCTGCATAATTTTTACATTCCTCCAGTTATGGCAATGGACCACCACGGTTTGGAGGGAGTCGCGGTGGGCCCCCACAAGGCAAGAAGTTTGGAAATCCAGGGGACAGGCTGCGGAAGAAACATTGGAACCTTGATGAGCTGCCTAAATTCGAGAAGAACTTTTATCAAGAACAT